GAAAAAAAAAACAAAATTCCACATAATTACAGGAATGTCAGCACCATTTTGACCAAAGTTAGACCATTTGACTGGTCTGGAATATTGATATATCACATGGCGGTATTTAGATAGTGCTTTCACACTGAAAATCAAAATATTAGTATGACTTCTTATTGAGCACATAAAAAATAAGAGGGAGATAATGGAGAAAAGGAATACCCACACTTATTATTTTGGTGGAAGTAAATGTAACGCTTTCTTTTTACTAGATTTGAATGAAAAAATTAGAAGTTTTTTTTTTTTCATATTATTAGATTCTTGTAGTTAACTGATTTTATTTTTAATTAATTAAAAAGCTAATATTATTATTTTAATTTGTGTCTAAATGATAACTTAATATGTATTGCTCTTAAAAGTTTGATATACCAGTTAATCCATTTTATACATTATAATTTATTTGTCAATATCAAATTATGGAGAATTTTTTTTAGAAATTTTCTCAACAAAAAAGTGCATGTAAAAGAGTTTTAAAATATGTTACGTTTATTCTAAATTTACTTGAGGTGAAGTTTGGTCGAAATAAAATACGATTACAAAATTCATTAATGTTATTATATAGAGATACCACCTTATTAAAATTCATACGAATAACTATGAATGTATGTTTTTGTATTATATTTTAGTTATTATATATAAAAATAAAACTAAATTTGGCCCCCACTCAGTTTATGAGCTGAATCTGTCCCTGCGCAAAAGTACTTGTAAAAGAAAAGGAAGAAAAGGAAATTTTATTGATCTTAACATTGCAAATGTCCCATTCGATGGGAGCTTACATTTCCAAATCACAGTAGTACACATCTCCAAAACACACGACCATAAACAAAACACACGTAATTACAAACGTAGATTTCATTCAGCAAATGCAGATAATGCATTCGTTAAATATCCCAAACCATCTTTTAGATCCTCCCAATGACATCGATTACCTTCTCCACCGCAGAACCAAATGATTTCTCATCTTCTGTTTTGACATCATCAGTGTATGCCGAGACATTAGGCCTCGGCTCAAAATCTTTAACAAAAGTCTTCTTGTCATCTGACTTAACCTCATCAGTGTAGGCCGATACATTAGGTCTCGGTTCAAAGTCTTTATCAAAAGATTTGTCGTCACCTAATTTAGCCTCATTAGTGTAAGCCGATATATTTGGCCTTGGCTCGAAATCTTTAACGAAAGATTTCTTGTTTTCTTCTTTGGCATCATCAGTGTAAGCCGTTATACTAGGTCTCGGCTCAAAATCCTTACTAAAAGATTTTTCTTGCCTAGTTTTGACATCATCAGTGTAAGCCGATACATTAGGCCTCGGCTCAAAGTCTTTATCAAAAGATTTGTCGTCACCTAATTTAGCCTCATCAGTGTAAGCCGATATATTTGGCCTTGGCTCGAAATCTTTAACGAAAGATTTCTTGTTTTCTTCTTTGGCATCATCAGTGTAAGCCGTTGTACTAGGTCTCGGCTCAAAATCCTTACTAAAAGATTTTTCTTGCCTAGTTTTGACATCATCAGTGTAAGCCGATACATTAGGTCTCGGTTCAAAGTCTTTATCAAAAGATTTGTCGTCGCCTAATTTAGCCTCATCAGTGTAAGCAGAGACATTTGGCCTTGGCTCGAAATCTTTAACGAAAGATTTCTTGTTATCTTCTCTGGCATCATCAGTGTAAGCCGAGACATTAGGTCTCGGCTCAAAATCCTTACCGAAAGATCTTCCATATTTAGTTTTGACATCATCAGTGTAAGCCCAGACATTAGGTCTCGGCTCAAAGTCTTTGGAGTAGGATTTTGAATGTGTGTCAGGCGAGCCATGGTGACAGTCGCTTTTTTTGTGTGAATCAGGAGATGTTACCTTAGACAAGTGGACAATGCCTTGCACTAATTGGGGCCTAGGCTCATCACCCACAACCCCATGCCAGTATTCTCCGGAATCTTTTCTTGCATCTATACAAGTTGCAAACTGCATTTTTATGAATTAAGACAATATAAATTAATATATATGTCTAAGTGTCATCGAGGATCAAACATAGCATATCAAAAACGAAATTTCAAAACCGAAACAAATATTAAGGGGATGCCTGTAATCTTGTAAGAACAGTTTGAGTTTTATGTATTTTTGTGTGGTTAATTATCCAGCAGGAGTACCTTGCAATTTTAGTCCTATATGTTTAATTACCTTAATTTTTTCGTATTCTTCGAATTGCGTTATTGATTTTCGTCCTATTATATTTGCAAAAAGGTTACAAAAATGTCTTTTTCATACATAAGAGGCGAAATTAAAACCTTTTTTTAGACCTTTTTGTAACCTTTTTGTAAACATACAAGGCGAAAATAAAAAAACGCAATTTGAAGAAGACAAAAAAGTTAGAGTACTGAAGACTAAAATTACATTTTTACTCTGACCAACAAGACATACGGGTAGAAGGCATGTAAAACAAAGTTAAGTTAGTTGTATTTATCATCATAATATAGGTAGATATATAATTCAACGGAACATTTGGAGTGTAATAAGGCGATATTGGGATTGTGCGGAGACATACCAGGACAAAAGAGAGGAGGGGAACTGCTACAGCAAAGATGGATCTCATTCTCAGAGCTTTAAGCAGAAATTAGAATATTTTTTTTTTTATGTTTTGAATGAATTTTTTTGTACAATGCAGACGCTATTTATAGGGAGCGAAATTTGAAAATTGGGTGACCTGTGAATGGCTAATCAAGTAATCATTCATCCATTTCTTAGCAAGTCGACAAAGTTCACAAATCAATGAGTAATGATATAGACTAAATAAAAGACAATTATTACAAGCATATATATCTTTTATTGTCACATATATTTTACGGACATTTATGGGTCCATACTCCATATCTTCATGTCTCAACGTTATCATATATTTTTTTTTTTTTTTACGTTCTTTTGTTTTCTTGGCAATTATTTTAGAGGGTTCAATGGTAAGCAATAGGTCTAATGGTTCAATTAACAGTAGAATATGTAGGAAGGAAAGAAAAATTGAAGATTTCGTCTTATACGTGATTGATAAATGATCCTCTAAATATCAGTTTTTCAATAAACGTCCTTTAAAAAATTTGAAATTCTCTCTAAGGGGAGCGAAAATTCTCTTTGAGAAGAGCGTAGAAATTCTCTTTGAGAGGAGTAATCCAAAATTCTTTTATTGAAAAGCTAAATTCCATCGTGGGTTGGCTGTTGAAACGATTATTTTGCGAGGATTTGGATACCAATGGAGTTCGATGTCTCTGGAGGATCAAGTTCAGTACAGGAGACCGATGACCTAGGCTGTCGATTACAGAATATAGCATTATCCGAGTCGGAGAACAAGATCATTGATCTAAAGGATGATGACATCAGAATCAGCGCCGCGGAGTGTAAAAGAAGTCTCTTTGGGAAAATCATCGGAGATCAAAAAGCGCATCTTATTGGCATTCGAAGAACTATGGGGACAATTTGGCAGATCCAGCATCAAATGGAAGTAAGGGAGCTGAAAACAAATTTCTTCCAGTTCCTATTTGGGAGCATTGAGGATAAGAATAAAGTGTTGAAAGGGACCAACTGGGTCTTTGAGAATCAGTGCATGATTTTGGCAGAGTGGGAAGAAGGAATGACTGAGAAGCATCACAGATTTTCAGAATTGAATCTTTGGGTCCAGGTCAGTAACATCCCCATCAACTGGCAATGTACTGAAGTTGGCTTAAAAGTGGGAAAGGTGTTCTTGCAAGTCAAAATGGCCTCAGTGATAAAAGCTGGTGGCCAAAGAGGAAGTTTCTTGAGATTGCTAGTTGTAGCAGATATATCTAAACCGTTGCCTCGAGTAGCCTGTCTCAAACTTCATGATACACAAATCAGGGCATTGTTCCAATATGAGAAATTGGTGAATGTATGCTTCTATTGTGGCATGATAGGCCACTTGGAGAGAGCTTGTAACAAGAAGGAGGAGGATATTGCTAATGGCTCACTAAATGAAGGGCAGTATGGGGATTGGATGAGAGCAGTTGACAGCCACTATGGGTGTAAATCAAGTTCCAACTCCTCGCCGGGCAATAAGCCTACTGAACAGCATACTCAAGGTCAGGAAACAAATTCAGATCACCAGGAGAATGATACAGGGTTCAAATCAGCAGGAAGTGGTATCAGAATTGGAAATGGCAAAGAGCTTAGTATTGCCGACAATGTGGATCAAGGAGTTCTTTTAAATGGTGATAAGAACAAAGGAAAGGAAATCTGCCTATCTGATGAGACCTTGATTCATGGGAATAACTCCAGCATAATACCAGTTCCAGAATCTGAAATGCTTGGCACTCACCCTGACATGATAATGAATGAACAAGAGATGATTACAAGCCAGAAAATAAGGAGATGGGCTCGAAAGGCAGGTGTAAGCAGCCAGAGTGGTAGAACCTTGAGAAGTAACTCTGAGATCAAAGAAGCTCAAAACAAAAGAAGGAAGAGAGGCATTGTCATTGAAGAACCTGGTACTCAAAAGCTAGAGCCTGATGTGAGGAGAGGTAAGAAGACTAAACTTAACTCGTTGGAGGTGGGGGTGGCCAGCCTTGAGTGGCCCCCACTTGACCAATGAAGCTTGTAATGTGGAATTGTAGAGGGTTGGGTGGACCTTCTACAATTTCTCAAATCAAGGAGACCTCAAGGCTCCACCACCCGGATTTTGTTTTTCTTTCAGAAACCAAAAAAACAAATAATTTTATTAAATCTGTTTGTAATAAGATAGGATTTAGAGATAGATGGTTTGCTGTTGAACCCCAGGGGCTTAGTGGGGGGATGTTAGTTTTGTGGAAAAAAGATATGCATATTAAGCAAATTCTGAGCAACCATTTTTGTATCCAGATTGAATCTATTAGTCCAGGTGTTATTGGGAGTGTGTGGGTTACTTTTGTGTATGCTAGCAATTGTAAAAGAGAAAGAATTCAACAATGGCTTTTTCTTGAGCATGCTAGTTCTGGCTGGGGTAGGAATTGGATTTTGGGAGGGGACTGGAATGAAATTTGTGACAATAGTGAGAAAAGTGGGGGTAGGAGGAAAGCTGAGAGAGAGTTTATTCAATTTAATGCTTTTATTTCAAGAATGGGCATGCAGGAAATTCAACAAACTGGCCACTGTTACACTTGGGGCAACAATAGAGAGGCTGAGGGATTTATTGAGGAGAAGATTGACAAAATTTTTGCTTCATTTGACTGGTTGGATGGAAATCAGCATGCAATGGTGCACAACTCCTTCAAAAGTGCTTCTGACCACAGACTTCTTCTCCTTATAGATAATCACCAGACTCACAGGAAGCAAGGGAAAAGATTTTTCTTTGATAAGAGATGGCTGAGGAGGGCTGGAATTCAAGAAGTTGTGCAGCAAAGTTGGAATAGTGAACAATTTGGCACTCCAATGTCCCAAGTTTTTGAGAAAATTAAATCAACAAGGTTGGCATTACTCAAGTGGAGCTCTACCTTTAGAAATGAGCAGTTCAAAGAGAAACAAACTATCACTCAAAAGCTGGAAGAAATGAGCACTCTTGGTAATAATAGGAATTGGGATGAGTGGCACAAATTGAAAGGGGAACTGGAGAAAATTACAAAAGAAGAAGAAATCTTTTGGGCCCAGAAAGCTAGATCTCAGTGGCTGAGGGAAGGTGACTCCAACACCAAATACTTCCATGCCAGAGGAGGAAGATGAATGGTATTTCTCACCTAGTGGATGATCTTAACCAAGAGTATTCCACTGAAGAGGATATACAGATTCACATATGCAGGTTCTATGAACAGCTTTTCTGCTTAGAAGGCTCTACTGGAGAGCATGAACTCCTTCAACTCATTCCAGAAACCATCACTCCTGAAATGAATGTGACTCTCACAGCCCTAGTTACAAAGGAAGAAATCAAATCAGCACTGTTCAGTTTTGAGCCAAGCAAAGCCCCTGGACAAGATGGGATGAGTCCAATTTTTTTCCAAAAGTTCTGGAGTATAATTTGTGATGATTTTTGCAAGGCCATCCTTAGCTTTTTTGAGTCTGGTAAGTTACTGAAGAGCTGGAACCACACTATAATTTCTTTAATTCCAAAATGTCTGAATCCTGCATCATTGAAGCAATACAGACCAATCAGTTTGTGTGGAGTGGCTTATAGAGTAATTGCCAAGATCTTGTCTCTCAGAATTAAACCATGTCTATCAGCTTGTATTAGTGAGAATCAAGCTGCCTTCATCCCTGGAAGGCAGCTTCTTGACAATGTGGTAATTGCTCAAGAAAGTGTTCACTTCCTCAATAGACACACTTCAGGAAAAAAAGGCTACATGCTGATGAAATTGGATATGGAGAAAGCCTTTGAACGCATTGAGTGGGAAAGTGTCAGAAAGGTAATGCTGAAAATGAGGTTTCACACTTTGTTTGTAAACTGGATTTGGGCCTGCATATCATCCACTACATTCTCTTTCAACATTAATGGGGAATTAAAAGGTTATGTATCTGCTTCTCAAGGCATCAGACAAGGTGATCCAATCACACCTTATATTTTTATCATCATTTCTGAGGTGCTGTCCAGACTTATTAAAAATGAGGAGAGACATGGTTCTTTTGCTGGCCTGAGAATTGCAAAGCATAGTCCTGCTGTTTCACATTTGATGTTTGCAGATGACACTTTGGTGATGTGTGAGGCTAGTGGAAACAATGCTCAAGTTCTTATGTCCTTGCTGCTCAAATACTACAAATTCACTGGTCAAAAGGTAAACTTGGGAAAATCTTCTATCTTTTTCAGCAGAAATTGTTTGCCTGCCCTTAAAGCTAGAATCTGCTATCTGCTTGGTAATATTCAGTCCCATAGATCTACCAGATACCTAGGGTTGCCTCTAGGTATTGGTAAATCTAAGAAGGAAGCCTTTGACTATATTCTCAAAGCAGTCAGGGATAAACTTGTTAGCTGGAAAAATCAATTTCTTTCAAGTGCTGGTAAAGAAGTATTAATGAAAGCTGTTTTGGGAGCACTTCCTGTTTTTTCAATGTCCTGTTTTTGCTTACCTAAAGGAGTCTGTCAGGAGATTGAAAGACTGTCGGCAGCATTTTGGTGGAGCAAAGGGGACTTGCAAGGTGGGCTGCATTGGAAAAAATGGGCTTTGTTGACTCTGCCAAAAAAGGTGGGAGGTTTAGGCTTTAGAGATGTGGAGTTGTTCAATGAAGCTCTGATTTTAAAGCAAATATGAAGAGTAGCTACACATCCTAATCTGCTCATGACCAAGGTTCTTAAAGGAAAATACTTTCATAAATGTTAAATTTTACAAGCCAAGAAACCTTACAATGTTTCTTGGCTCTGGAGTAATTGGATGGGAGTGAAAAACAAGTTTCAAAACTGCTTTTGGGTAGAGGTCAGACAAGGCAGACATATAAATATCTGGAATGATCCTTGGCTTGTTGGAAATGTTGGTGGTTTACCTAGTTCTAATGCAGTGAGGAGAGACAGAGTGACTTGGGTTAAAGATCTTGTGCAGGAGGATGGAAAAAGTTGGAACAGAAGCTTGCTTATGGAATGCTTTCATCAATCTGATGTGAAGGCAATACTGAACATTAAATCCCTTGACCCCTTACTTGCTGATAAATGGAGATGGAAACTAGATGCCAAAGGTCACTTCTCAG